CCTTGAATGCATCTGAAGTATGCTTCATTCGCAGGATTGGAAGTCTACTTTGAGTGCAGGATGCGGTTAAATGTTGAGGCTGAGCATCGTGGAGGCGAATATTAACGACCAAGTGTGACCGGCGTGACAAGCCTACTGTTTCGAAACCCCTTTTCACGGCCACCAACCACCAACGCAGCCCACCGACTTTGTCGTCCGCAAGCCTTCATAGACGAACATAAGAGCCTAATCCCCTCAACTGAAAGTGACCTGGAACAAGGTAGCGTAAATTGTCCCTTGAAACCTTACTTTTCATCATAACAACATATTTTTAGCCTGAGGACGTTCGAGGTAGCGCTGGCAGCGAAAGGTTGAAACCCAGAGCATCACTGGTGCTTCTTCTCCATTATACCCGGCGTTTAACTTACCACCAGCAAGATGAGCGCTCCAACAACGACTTTCTCCAACTTCAACGACTTCTTCCTCCGACTTCACCAACTCTCTCCCAGCTCCCGAACACACCTACCAAGTCCGGAAGCGGTTGTATAGCTGCTCTTCCGGCCTTCTTCCATGCTGCGCTTAGCGAGAAACTATGAGCAAGGGTGCTGTTCTTGTCCTTGTACTTGGTAATGAAGCCGACCCATCCTTCGCCATAACTCAAGTACTTTCCAGTTGCGGTCGTTATCGAAAATTTCGGGCCGCCATGGAAAGACCAACTTTGCGGCAACAGCGTCGTTTTACTCTGTTGCGATTATGCCACACAGAGTAGTACCTGTAGGGAAAACGAGAGGGAAGGTGTCCCCCACGTGTGCGTGCTTTTGTTTGTGGCATGTGTTCGCTGATTAATTTGTAGCACTTCAACAGGCTTTCGCCCGGTAGGCCAAGCCCACGGTGAAACTATGCAGTCTGGAAGTCTATTCACGACCAACTTGAAAGATAGATCGTCTGGCGTATTAGCGTGCGTTACTAACGGAACGTTTAACTTGGTGTTAACTGCTTCGCTACTATATAGCTTATAGACCAGGACTCCAACCCGCGGTACATTACTTCCTGCTGCCAAGCTGGTCCCTATCGCATTTCTCGTCTTCAACTCGTTGTGGTTCGAGCCCTACAAATACTTTCGGGAGCTACATTCATCTCTACCGCAAATTAAATCCAGCTTTTCGTATCATTCCCGACCAAGCTTTGTCTTTCAATCTTCCCTGGGTTTATCGTCATAGTCTTCGGGAGAAATCGATAAGCAGATCTGGGACGCACCCATCGCTCAACGACGCTTCTGGAACGAGTCGTCTTAGTCACCACTTGCAGAAAAAACTTCACACTTCCTCCCCAATCGCCATATTTCTTACCTTGACAAATACACAGCCTCTTCAAAACATATGGTTTCAACTAAGTGAGGATGCTACCGCATTGCAAACCTGACTGCTACCAAGACACTTCTTGCCTCATGCCGAGGTTGTGGCGAATCGAAGAAGGAGTCCAGAGTTCCACCAAAAACCAAGCCTATATCGGGATCCAGCGACACTGTTGACGTCACGCGCAAACTTGGGCCAGCTTATCATACATGACCTCGTTTCCCTGGGTTCTGGACGGAGGTCAACATCCTGGTGCTTTAGATCGGGAGCGACATCGTTTTTAGCTTACTTCTTCGGCCACAATGCACATTCTAGAGCCCAGACAAACGATAGAATGGCCCTCTATCTTCCAATTCCTGCCCGCCCTTCAAGTACAATCATCCCCAACAGTTTCAACAACGCGGCAATACTGAAGGATTGCCGAACGGATTGTCGTCATCCCCCCATCGACTCGACCACGCAAAAAAAATTCCTAGTCCACTCTCTACTGGCCACACGTTGTACTCTCGCCGCTGCAGCTCTCCCACGAAGTCGTCGTATGCATTCACGGAATGTCCTCAGTGGACACAATTTCGCGGAGAACTTGCCCACGTATGTGATCTGCGAGTGCGTCATGTTATCGAGTCCACTCTTCCATCTCCGGAAGCGTCATATCACATCTCTGTCTGGTGGTTCTCTTGTCGTGAATTTGACCCCACTATCACTATCGGGAGCTGTTGAGCCGCAGTCGGGGTCTTTCGCATTGCTTCTCCTTCTTTTACAATCGACGAAGAAGCTGTCGTCACCGTCATCCACACTCGAAATACTCTCACATCTATCTCCCCACTCGACTATACCCCTTATCTCCTTGCCCTCAACTATGTGATTCCCCCACGAATACCGTCGTTTGGCTTCATTTGAGCGACTATCCATTGGACACCAACATCTCCGCAGCCCGGGTCTCGGCAGCAACTTGAAGGTGGCGGGTTTTGGTCTATATGAAAAACTCAGTCTTCCATGAGCTGTTCATCCGTTTTCATTGGTGGGATGGACGGTGTTCGGAAGCCATGCAGACATGACACGCAGACTTGACACAAATATCATTTCCGTGTTATCGCGGTGGTCCTCCTTACTTCCCTCCGACTGAAAACTTTCAAGTTGATAAGTTTGATTCAACAATCTTATCGCAAGTAACCGTACTTATGGTACCTACTCCTAGTCATACTCTACCTCCCACATACTCGACGGTACTTCTGCAACCTTACACCTTTGGCTTTTACTTGCTCGAAGTCATGTCACTCGTGCTGATCAGCCTAAGTCTAGGTACTGGTGGCTAGCGCCGCCGCAAGCCACAGATCTAGACGAATTTAGCCTGTTTATCTCGCTATTCTCAGATTGTAACGGAAGGTTTGCTGAAGGTAATGAGACGGAGAATGATGCAAGGCTTCTTGTGGGTTACATGGATGCACGTCATTGCGATTCCACTAACGCCGACTTTGCGAAAAGACTATTATTAGTGACTATAGACCCAGAGTATGCAAGTCTCGCATCGAAAGTGAGTTCTCGAGTCTTCTCACTAGCTCACGATCTTACCACTATTATTAGGTAGCAGCCGTGGACTGACTGCTATCGTCTCTAAAATAACCTGCTTTGAAACTTCATCCTCTATCTTAGGTGCTCGCTTCCGATGACGCGCTCAGTACAATCGTCTTTTCTCAACTCCTGACTTCGAACTGGTACATTTACTAGTACATTGTCCACACGAGTACAGAAAATTGCGGCGAAGATACAAGTACAAATGACGATAAGCAAAAGCCCAAGACCCAAGAAATTTCAGCTGGACGACCATTCCGCCGTCTGGGGAAGACGATAAGAATCCGGGGTTGAGCGACAAAATTGCAAAAATACCATGACGGACGAGTCTATATGCGGACCGAGAAGGCAAGGAATCTGGGGCGTGTGTTAGCGAAGTTCACAGGAATGTGGCTTGCCACGGACCAGGTACAAGTCGCGGGATTGTAGAACGGGCATGACGTCGTGTGGGTGCCGCGACAGCCGCAATGGCAGCACTGGGGGCCGGCGCGGTAAGACGGCTTCATGACCGATTCGTATGCTAGCAGCGGGGAGTCGCGGGTGGTCTGTTTCACCGGGCCGTGCGGGGAGGAAACGACTGCCAGTGCGAAGTTGCGGGTAAAGGTGTTGGATGGTGCGCTCGACATTGTGGGGAGTGAGTGGGTGGATGGCACGCTAGCGGGGAGGCTGGCTTGACGAAGACACGTCGGGTAGACCATTTTATAGCGGTTCCACACTCGCGGAACTAGCGCCTCTCCCTCACGTGGAGATTCGCCATTTCTCGATGGACGATGCGTAGCCTGGGCCTCGAAGGCTGACGTAAAAATTCGAGGGAAGGGAAGGCGTAGCAGCATGAACCCCGGGGCCAGCGGAGCCCGGTTCGTGGCGCTCCGAAATCGAAGCCGCCATAATGTTGGATCAGGGCCATATGCGTCAGAGATTGACGGTGGGACCGACGATGTCTGGCTGTTATTGAGGTCACGGTTTTGGACGCAAGATGGTATCTGCGCTGAGTCAGTTTGGAAACTCATTTGTACGGCGAGCAATGAGAAAACACATTTACCTTGCCAGTGTTCCTAATCAAAAGCAACCCTCTGTTGGTCCGCCGGTTGTGGAGCTTGGTGCAAAACGCAGATGGTAATAATTCGAGTAAAGGCACCACTTCAGACCTGTAATTGGATTCTGTCGTGGTACTGAAGGTATAATCAATGGAAGTACCGAAGGCCTGGAAAGTCACAGGTTCAAAGTGTTCCATCTGGAAAGAGAAAACGCACCTTAATATGCATATGTATTCATTCTCGAACGAGTCCGCTCGTCTCGGATGGGCAGACGCCGCGTCATTTCCAGCAGTTCTGGTCCAGAATCCGCCCGTCTTAGTCAAGCCCTCGACTTCTCAAGGCACCAAGGTGCGCGTCAGAATGGTAGCAGGATGCGTTGGTCAGCTGGGGCCGAGAAAATCTGGTAACGCGGTCAGTCTGCAGCGTTATTCAAGTTCGTATCGCCACGGACTCGGAGCACCTCACTCAGGCTGAATTGAATGTCCATCCCTTCTCGAAACTGCTTTTCACGCTACCACTAGTCCGCCAGTTTCGGAGTCTAGTGGCGAACGCCGCCTCGCTTCTGTGGAGTCTGGACTCTGAGAGTCGCCTGTCTAGGCGAGGGACGGACTGGACACAGTCAGCTTAATATCCAAAAGGCCACAATGGACACACAGTTTTTTCGCCTCCATGACGAGTCCGCTAGTTTCGGGGCCAAACCAAACGCCGCGAGAAGCCATCCCTCTGAGTATATTTCCGCGCCAAACCGTTGGCAAGCACTAGTTAGGCTCGCGAGGTCCCGAAGTTGAACTGGAGAAGTCGTCTTCGTGACTTCACAAGGGAGTCGAGGACAGTGGGAGATGTGTGGCTTAGGAAGTCATAGGTTTACCTTAGTGATATTTACGGCTGCAGGGCACAGCTGGCTAGGTACAATTTTGGTTGGTGCAAGGTTGTTGTTGGTCAGGGTTAAGAACGTGATTGATCAATTGATGTCGGCAATGCTCGTTTCCGGACGACAACTAGTACTTGAAGATCAGGCCCACTGACAAATTTCATTTGCGTGATTTTCCTCCTGGCCATGAACGAATCTGCGGTGCACCCAGTCCTCCTTGCGATCCGGCTTGTGCCCCTACGTACTGCTTCGAACCGTGGTTTATGTTCTCTTGCTGACCACATCGCAGCTGCCGTTTTGCTCTGGACACTCTTGACCCAAACCACTGCGGCACACAACCGGGACAAGACGGTGAAGAGGATACTCGCTGACAAGTTTCTCCAGTACCTCCTCGCACGGCTTCCGGTGACTGTAACAGAGACAACGTTTGACGTGTACCACCGCTGGGCGCGGAAGTCGGGTAACCCCGTGGTGGTCGATGAGCTCGGCGACGACGCGCGACTCCTATGGCTGACAGAGAAGCGTCCGGGTGAGGACGTGTTGCTTGTTTTTCATGGTGCGAATTTCCTTGCACGCCATTCAAGTTCTCATTATAATCCAGGTGGCGCCTATATATTGCCAGCGCCAGACTTTGCCCTATCGTTCTGGCGCTATATCGGCGACCGCGTTAGCGAACATGGCACAGGCATGAGTGTCGTCATGCTGAACTATAGTGCGTTAAACCCACTCGTTTCAATGATAAACTTGGACAAACTGGACACCAGCACTGGCGCCTACACGGACTTTCCCAGCGCAGCTTAACCAGGCCCGCCTCGCCCTCGAGTTTCTCATTAACTCGGGCTTGCACGCACAGCAGATCCACGTAGCCGGCGACTCTGCCGGTGGAAACCTTGCGCTCCAGCTTATGTCACACATGCTACACCCCCACCCCGATGTTCCGCGTCTGCAGCTCCCTCCCAACCAGACACTTGGCGGGCTCTACCTATTGTCTCCGTCCACAGCGCTTGGCACGGCCCGGCCCTCCTGGAAAAGCAATGCGCCGTATGATTACATGCCCGTTTCCAAAGTACCCGCCGACGATGGTGCAACAATCCGTGCCACGCTTGGCGTTCCGCCGGAGTACATCCCCTTTGCCGAACCGTCACGCGTTCCAGACGACTGGTTCAACGGTCTGGAAGCGCTCGTCGACTACGCGCTCGTCACGGCCGGCTCACACGAGGTTATGCGCGACGATATCGTCTTCTTCGCCGATGTTCTGAAGAAACAGTCCAAGCTCGAGGTCGAGATGTTTGTCCAGAGCGGCGGTGTGCATGTTGATATGGCGCTGGACTTCCTGGTCAGGGAGACTAGACGGGAACGCCTATCGTCAGTAACGGCGCTTTTTATCGAACGACTGGCAACCCGGGTAAACGCTAGCCTCTAGGAGATGGAGCTCCAGTAATTCGATAACGCGGCTGAAATATTTATTTGTAATCAAGAACTTGTATCCTGATAGTTATGGTTGTGCATTCTGGCATTGTATGGTCCGTAGGATGTAATCACGCCGGGGATAGCATGACCAGCACCAAAGTAGTAGTCTGTGATAGCCATGACTATATTACCAATTCATTATTATATTATACTGCTTATTATTTTGATTATTTCTTGTTGTTGTTGTTGTCATGTTATTACCATAGTTATGTCACAGGATGTGGTAGGAACCAATTTTATATTTATATGATATGATTATTATCTTATTATAGGATAATAAATTATTCCAAGTAAGTATTTCTAAGGTTCAGAGCCCTGGAATAATTGATATTACAAAGAATAAGTTATAACTGATACCATATTTATTATATAACTGTTAAGTGCCGTGTTGACCAGAGGACTGGAGTTATGAACAGAATCGAAGTTGGAATGCACTTGGGGGCGGAACACCACAGAAGGATGTTTGGGTAACCAGGGCTCAGTGTTGGACCTAGGGCCTGTAGGGTCCTATGGCTCTAGGGCTGGAGGTAAAACACTGGAAGGGTCCGAAGGGATGCTCGCGGGCGTGCGTGCTTGGCACATCATTCATGGTGTCGACTGGTTGGCAAACAATTCGGAATGTGAGGCGCTGCTGCGAGCAGCCAGCGCATTAGCTCCTGAAACTTCCAAACGAAAGCCACGTCGACCCTTCACCCTTGAAATAATCGAGTTGATCTGCAACAACCTCGACAAGTCGAAACATCAAGATGCGGCAATATGGGCGTGCCTCACAATTGCGTACTACTCATGCGCGAGACTGGGAGAGTTGGTAGTAAAAACGTTGGCGAGCTTTGACGCTACAAAGCACGTCTCCAAATCTGGGCTGCGAACAGAAACAGATAGGCACGGACTCGAAACGATCACTTTGCATATACCAATAACAAAGCGTGCCCGACCGGAGAAGACTTAGTCTTTGCAACTCAAAGTGGACCTTCCGACCCGCGAAATGCGCTTGCACACCATCTGTCCCTAAATCTCCCGGATACCCGCTCCCACCTTTTCTCCTACAAATCAGGCCGAGCTCGGCGGCCTCTAACCAAGTCCGCATTCATAAAGCGCATTCATCAAATTCTCAAAGCGAACAACCTCGACCCGCTTCAAGGCCACGGAATCTGCATTGGTTCAACTCTGTTCTATCTATTACGTGGAGTTCCTTTCGAAGTAGTCAAAATGATGGGACGCTGGCAGAGCGACGCGTTCCAGCTATACCTCCGCAAACACACTCAAATTTTGGCTCCTTACATTCAAGCAAATCCCGAACTGCACGCAGAATTCATCAAGTTATCTATGCCTCCAATACGCTGTGAGTCTCCCTCCTAAAGAGCTCTGGGGTTCTGCCTGGATGCGTCGTTAGACTCCTACTGACTGTGGGCTTCCATGCAGAACCCCGTTGTGCCGGAAAGCAGAGCTGTCGAGCAGGCACGAAAGTCACATGCCCGCAAGACACCTCTCGCCTTTCTCCCACCTTCCGTTTCTGACTTCACACCACGCGCGAACGAATCCGCAAATTGGCGCTCTAGATGATTGAGGGACGAGGGTGATCGAGAGCTGGGTTTGCGGATGAGATGTGTCGCAGACAGGAGACAACTCTCCTGCCTTCTGCGACACAGACAACGCGTGCGAAGACATACCTAGCCACTAATTGTTTCTTTGCCCACCCTCCACTCCCTCTAATGCATAGTATTATTGACTGGAAATTGGCTTCATGAAAATCTCTTGGGCCAACGGGCTTCCATGCAGAACCCCCCCTATTTTAGACCCCCCTAATAGGAATCATTTCCTGTGTAGGAGCCTATTTAGTCCCTATGATTGCATCTGATCCCATCAAATCTCAACTGATTGTCTCTTATCCTTGATCTTTGTTGGAATTTAGGTTTTGTTAAGCTTATTTTGGGTGACCATATGTCAGTGCAGACAAACAGCTACCCACTCATGCTGAAATCGACCTCCAAATCATGGTCTCCAGAGCTTGGCCAGCCATACCACAAATTTCCTTTTTGGGATGTAGCACTCTACAAGCCAGCCCTATATATAGGGCTATAGGGCCATTAAGGGCCCTGTGGGGACCCAAGGTGCAATATAGGGCCCCTATGGCCATCAACTGCCGGGGCTTCCAGACTCCAGTTGACCAAGACAAGACAAGAGAGAAGATCTGTAAGGGGATCATGTGATGTGACAGCTGTGACTGATCATGTGACTGGTCCGTGCGCAGATAGCCCTGTACTTGAGTAGTTGGCCCTGGGGCTGTTCCCCCGGCTTTGATATCAACTTGGCACTTGGACCCTCTTCGCCTCACAAGATCAGAGTCGAGACAATCCTGGAGAATAGGGACCAGCAATGTTAATTTACAAACTGAAGTACGTAGTAATACATCAAAGTATTTATAGTACAAGAAGTAATGGAAACGGAATAAGGGATAACAAAGTAAGTAATGAGATTAGAACAAAGTCAAGTAAAGTAGAAGAGGAGTTGCATACAAGGAACAAGGCATAGATTGCATAGATCATAAATCGGAGTAATTGGAAATGCTCAGTAAATCTTCATTGCATAAAAACCAAATACCAGAATTGGATATCGGAATCAAATGCCGGAGTCAGCACAGATATAACAATAACAAGAGTTAGTACCAGTACTAAAACTAGGAAAAGTTGTGGATAACATTTACTTGTAGTATAGGTGAATTTCTGATAATTAAAGACAAGCAAAGTTGGATATGTACATATGTATATTCCGTTTGCATAATATGCTGGATGTAATTTTTTGATACATAACTGGCTATTGTATCACTTCTCTTTGTGCAAGAAGGTACTGCTGACTCATTGGGCTTAAAACAACTGACTTCGACCCCAACACTGACTTCAACAAGGGATCACATTAACATGCCCTTTTGATGCGATTCTACTTAACTCGCTTCCTTTGTGGGCCTGACAATCCATCTGTTCTGTTTCATGTGCGCGATCCTAGGAGGAGCCTTGCACGGCCCGACCCAAAGCTTGACAATTAAAAATAAAATAAAATTATATGGTATGTATAATGGATATATGATACTCCTTTGGGGTGTCGTGCACGCAACATGCTAAGCGGTGGAAATAGGCTGGAATGGCCATTCGGGCCACGTCCAGGCAGGCGGGCAGGCCTCGGAGCAGAATTGGACTGGGTCACGGCCGGCCAGGCACCCCCAAACCACAAAGTAGGGCGCATTTGGCCTCAAATGTGTCTCAGACAAAACACTGGCCCTTTAAACAAAGGGATGTAACTCAAAACACAGGAGCTGGAACACATCAGAAACCACTGAGGCCTCAGAACGAAGCACATGACTGTGGGGACGCTGTGGGCCACGGCCAAAGATTAGATAAGGCAGATTAGATAAGGCAGGAACACTCAGGTTTAAATTCCCACTGTATGCTACAGTAGGCTTCAGAATACAATGCCCCCATAGCGGTTCTATTGCTCCCCATAGTGGAAAGTTGAACTTGCTACCCTCGAGAACACCTACGACGACGATGAACCTCTGATTGTTGAACAAGTGTTGATTTATTTTGATTTTACAGGAGATTGGAATGCTAGGTTGATGTAAAGATGAGAATATGGGGAAACTATGCTCAGATGTGCTTTCCTTTATGGAATGTTGCCCTCTTTGGATGGAGTGACCCATATTGAAGTTTTTTATGCCATTTATGGTATGGCAACTTATGCTCTTGATACTAGTTGTTCTGCCCTCAATGATGGACACAACAATGGGAACAGGTAATGTATCTATTTTCAGCAATGAAACACCAGATGTGACTGTGACTGTGACCACTACCATTTTGGGTTTTGGTGTTAGTTTTGGGTTGAGATCATTTTGGAGTGAGTTGTTGTTGTGGGGATGTTTGACCACAAGAGGCATGCTGTATATCAGTCATCTCTGTCCTATACTACATCCACACCTCCTTCCTCCAGCTCATTCACTCAGGAATACTAATAAAAACGTGGCTACTGGTGAAGGGCCGTACTCATAAAACCTGGGGAAGGGCTCAAGGGTCACAAATGTCACACTGTTTACAAAACCATTTTATTCATTTTTGGGTGTTATATCATGTTATTGATGATGGGATTGATGGCATCAAGATAAAGTGATCAATGTGGAACGATTTTTGATGGACATCAGTACCATTGATGGCTATGTCAGGATACATCAATTTTAGCCTAATTAGGATGTATACCTTTGCCCTGGATCACAGGCCTACCTAGATGTTTATCCGGGTCTTCGGCCTGAAAGAATAGTGATTTGCCTTTCCATATCTGGTAATAGCTTAGTCATAGCTGTCAAACTCATTGAGATATTCACAATTGATTGAATGTCACATTTTTCGTCACAGTACTCCGGCCATGGCTGGCATGAGCTCCCCCAGGTTTTATGAGTACAGCCCTTCACCAGTAGCCACAGTTTTATTAGTAAAACTAAGTGCACATCCTGCTTCCTCTCCACCCAACTCAACAACTTCAACATCAACACCACCACTATTAACACTACCACCACCACCACCACCACCACACTTCCTACCATCAACATCATCACTGTCATCAGTGATCCCATCACACTCACACCACCTTCACCACCTCGGCTTGTTCATCATCATTTTGCTCTTATGGGTTGCAGCATGGATATATTTTCCATGGAGCTCTGAACACACAAGACCTTGATTTGGGTGTTTTGGTTGCTTGTGGAGTTGTTTCTGCATTTACCATTGCTCTCATTCCACACATTTCAGGGGGCACCATTGCCATCATCTACATCATCCTCCAGCTCTGAATCAGTATCTCTACTCCAACCTGCAATGTCAGCATGAATACAAGAGCTACCGTTTTGGCATGGCCGAATGGCGTGCACCAGTGCCAAATGGCGTGGCATGGCATGGGAGTGGCTTTTTG